ACCAACAACATACCTTCTCTACCATGTTGGATCACCGTATATTTAATTATGAACTCCGGTGTTCCGGATCAGGGTAATTTCCTATGTCTATTCATATAATCTAATCAGAGGTTGAGCTTGCCAGGAAAAGGTGGAATATACACGTTGATAACAACAATTCTGCAAGCTCAGGCCTGCAGCGAACAAGGAACTATTCACAGGGAGACGTTAGATCTTGGAGATTATACCAGTTGACAGAATAGTTCAGGAAATTAATGACTTTCTTAAATAGATAACTGACACTAATTAAACTATAAACATCAGATTCTCTGATGTCGGGGCGACAAAATGATCTAATTTCAGGCGCGATCAGAAACTCATGGATATTCTTAGGAAACGAAACCGATGGGTATCGTTTGTCCTGGCAGACTCAACACTCACTTACTTGACACGTCTTACCAACAATAAGGACAGTTGAAGCGTTCAACACCACTCACAATGGATCTTGAATGTTTCAACTGTAAACCGACATATCTAAGCTGACTCTAAACCAGGGTGTTCTCTCTCACATTCAAATTCATTATATAGAGAGGTTGGTTTCAGTAAGTCAGAGAAAATGGGATAACAGGGGACTGAGGCGTCTTGAAGTGACGAGAAAACGGACTCCTCAGATGGAGGACTCAAACTAAAAGCAGGTACATGTTTTGTGGGCTATTCAGCGTAATATGAATCATTTGATTTTGGCGTTAACTGACGTGTACGACCGTGGTCGTTACAATGGGTCAGGCTAATTTTCCACGTCTATCTTTATAATCTAATCAGAGATTGAGTTTAGCAGGAAAAAGGTGAAATGGACGTTAAAGACGCACTAACAACTTTACTTGCCGGAAACCACAAACCACAGCCAAGGAGTTTTTCCGGAAAACAGCCGTTAGGTCTTGGAGATTTTGAGTTTGACAGAATCTTTTCAGTAGATTAATGACTTTCTAAAATAGACAACTGACTAACTAAACTAGAAACATCCGATTCTCTGATGTTTGGGCATCAAAATAATCTAACTTCAGTAGCACTGGGAAACTCATGGCTATCCCCACGGACACTATAAGGATATACTGTTCATACTGACAAACTCGACACTCACTTACTTGACAAGTTTTACTAACAATAAGGACAGTTGAAGCTTTCAACACCACTCACAATGGATCTTGAATGTTCCAACTGTAAGCCGACATCTCTAAGTTGCTTAAACAATTGCAACCACAGTTGCAATTTCAAATTCTGTCATTCCAAAGGAATAATAAATTCTCGGGTGCACTCTTAAGATTGAGAGAAAACGGAGGACTCAGGCGTCGTGAAGCGATGAGAAAACGGACTCCTCAGATGAGGAACTCAAATACAGAAGCATAGCTTACATGTTTTGTGGGTTATCGAGCGTAATATGAATCGTCTGATTTTACGTTAACTGACGTATATGACCGTGGTCATTACAACCGTTGGATTGTGTGTTGTCAAGGAAGTTGCAGAGGAGAGCCGTGATGTTGGGTGGCATGTTAAGTTGGATGAACTTATATTTGAGTCTTTCATGCCATACTTTATGGAAGGCTTTGCTGACGTCTCTGAGTACTATGTTGCATTGGTTTCTGTTGCTGGCTGCATTTGCGATGGATTCGTATATTAAGGCTATTGCACTGCTTGTGCCTCGGCTTTTCCTAAAGCCATGTTGTATCTGGTTGTATTTATCTTCATACTCTAGGTGGTTTCTTAGTCTATAGTTTATTATTTTTTCTAGGATTTTGCCAGGTGTTTCGAGGGGTGATATGGGTTTGTAGTTTTCTGCCTGTGTTGGGTTCTTTCCTTGTTTTGGAATGAGTCTTATTTTTGCCATTTTTAATTTGGTTGGAAATAATCCGGTTGCTATTGACGCATTGAAGCTGTTTGATCATTGGTGGTGGTAAGTTTTGCAGTACGGTTTTGTTTATTTGACTTATTCCGGGTGATTTATTCTTGAAGCTGGCAATTGTTTTTGTGATGTCGTGTGTGGTTATTGGAGTAATTAGTGGGTTGATTGTCCTGGATTGTTGCCATTTGTCTGTGTTTTGGTTCAAGTGTGTTTTCACCATATGTTCTGTTTCTCTGCAGAAGTTTCTGTTGTCCTCATTCGTGATTTGGTAGATGCTGCTCCAAAATGTTCTGAATATTGGTTCTGAGAGTTTTGGTTCTGAGATCTTTTTGCCGTTTTGACTGTAAGGTAGCTGTTTTCCTCTGAGTTCGTGCCCATGAGATTTTTAATTTTAGTCCAGAAGGCTTTTGGATCTTCGTAATCTGCTTGGGTGTTGCTTATTAGTCGACTCCATTTCTCATTGTGTCTTATTTTGCATCTTTCTAGTAATTCCTCTGTGAGGTTTCTATACAATACAGTGATGTGTGGGCTCCAGACATGTGTTTTTATAAGCTCATTCAGGTTAGCGAATCTGGTTTGGATGATTTTTTCTTCGTGTTAGTTGTACATATGGTAGTGTGCGATATGTTGTTTTGGGGATGTTGTTTTTAATGGCTGTTGTGATTTTTGTATACCAGGTTTCTAAAGCAATATCGATCTTGTTTGTGTTTTTGTTGTGGAGTATTATTGCTTCGTAGGTGTTGAGGGCTGTTTTGAAACTTTCCCAGTTAGCTCTATTAAATGAGTATCTTGGTGTCGAGGGAATTTGTATTGGAGATGTGGAGAAAGTTGCTATTATGGGTATGTGGTCACTGGTGCCGAAGGGTCCAGGCTTTGTGTGTCTGAAATGGTGGTGTCTGTTGGTCAAAATTATGTCGGGATTTCCAGAGTTTCCCGGTGTTATGATTGTTTGGAAGTCTGGGCCTAGGTGTGTAATGCTGCCTTGCTCGATTAGGTTGTGCAGTATAACTCCAGCAGGGTTTCTGTTGTGGTGTCCAAGGGTTGTGTGTCGAGCATTCAAATCGCCTAGGAAGTATGCCGGGCTGTTTCGTCTGGTTAGTTTTAAGAGGTCTCCTGTCGGGAATATTGGTCTTCTGACAGGTAGGTATGATGTTCCTATTGTTATTGGTCCTTTGGTGGTGGTCGTTTATACTGCCAGGAAGTTACTTTGGAAGTTGTTAATTATTTTGTGTCGAGTCGTTCGTTAATTGCTTTTGCTGTCCTGTCATGTTCTTCGTTGATGTCTCTTTGGTAGACGTGATAATTAAAATTTTTTTGATTTTCTCGTTGTTTTTCGTCCGTGTGTGTTGATAAGAATGATGTCTGGGTCTATTGTGCTGTTTATGTTTGATTTCTGTTTTCCTCGCCAGGGTCCAGGCAAGAACGTTGTGCTGGATTATCTTTAATGATTTGTTCTGTAAAGTCGTGGATCCCGGGAACTTGGTGCAGGTTGTTTGCTGGCTCGTATTTCTCCTGGCGAGTGTATGTCTTTCTTCCTTTAGTCCCGTTCGGATTTTCTTGAATTTAGTTACGTCTACCCTTTCAATTTTGTTATATTTGGTGTTTATTAGTCCTGCCCTTATCAACGTTCCTATGTAGGCTTCTTCTACCCTGGCATCTTCGTAAGTGAATTTGACTGTGCCTTCCTTGATCTCCTGCAGAAGACTATCACTTGATATTGTAGGTTGTGTGATGACTGAGTAGAGATGGATGCCGATCTCCTCACCTCGGACTGCTGCCTGCGTTCTGGCTAGTGATGATGGAGGGGCACGATGTCCAGTGTGGGTGTCTCTTCTTGTTTTCACTTTGGTGTGACTGGTTGGCTGATTGGGTCTATTTCCATCACGTTTTCTTTTATGACAGGTTTGGTTGTTTGCTCCGGAGTCTGTTATTCCCAAGCTATTCTCGGTAATAATGTTAAATATTTCTGTTGAGGGGCCGTCGTCTGGGAATTTCACCTCCGGCAGATTATTGGCAACAAACATTTCCCAGGTCGTTTTTTTCAGAAGGATCCTGGCTTTGCGATGTTGTTGATGTGTGCATGAATAATAGTGGTTAGTATTGTGAATGGTAGTCCTTCGCTCAAATTAAAGTATGTGCTGTAGGTTGTATGGGGTTTTCTTTAGTTTTCTCCAGGACTTTGGTGTCTTGCAGTAAATATATAAATAAATATAAGTAAATATAAAAAAATAAAAACAAAGAGTTCATTTGTTACCCCATCATATTGCAATGCAATGCTATCCAAAATACCCATCAATAACAACAGCACACATATCTTCCACTATCCCACCTCCACCCCTCACACCGTCTGGTCCTCGGCAACCCATACCCGACCTTACTGTTACCAGACTTCTCAAACTATCCCTGCTGCTTCGACTTACCTTTATTAGTGGGGGTGGGCGATATATATCGGAATGAACACTGGGACTCCTGTTGTCACCGTAGGGTTATTAAACTCCATCGTTCTCTGTGTTATATTGTCACGAATTTTTTGTAGATAGTTTTTTGAGTGAGTTACTGTTTTATGTATCTTGATGAATCCGCGGTGACTACTTGTTTTGTTTATTTTCTTTGACCTCTACCAAGGATTCTAATACTATACCAAGACTGGTTTTCACCCCCAGACTAAGCACTGTCAAGAGTGGTTTACTGTTAAACAACCTCCATTTCAAAACACCTTGCTTCAAATTATCTAATGTCTTTGGCAAGGGAAAGTCTCGTTGAATATACCTGACAAGGATATTTGTCTGGTCTCTCTGTACTCAGTTATTAGTTAAATAGGATACCTTATTTATGATAGAGTTAAATGAGTCAGGTGTGTTCTCACATCTCCACTGGAGATAAAATTTATCTTAAACCTTTAGGGAGGATTGTCGCTCTTAGGTATTTTAATTTCGCTGAAGCCAAACGATTTATTTCAGATGAATTAAACACCTACCACTGAGAATTAGAACTAAATATCTTTGATTTTGTTCCTGTTGTTCTAACATTATTTCATTACGGTTATTTTAGGATTTATCTTAAAACCGTCATTATCTTAATTCCTCTTGCTGGGATACAGTACATACTGAATTAAGAATAATTTTAGGAGCAACATCAACATTTATTTTAAACAACTTTCTGTCATGTACAATGTATAAGAGGAGGAACATAGTTATTTACGATTATTATTATAAACTTATATAAATGTTTTGATGGTTGGTTACAGGAATTAGTTTGAACTGTGATGATCATCTGTATAGACATTTATGGAAGTTACGAAATGAATGATTCTAATAATAAAATATAATTAAAATTCCGATGGTGCAAACAGTTCTTCTGGTAATGACATCTTATTCTGGCGGTTATTTGGTGGTGTTGGCTGGCACGTAGTGATTGACAATTGCAGGACTTCAAAGTACCTATACACTGCTACGACAGATGCGCTGGTTGTTTTGTGGGAGGTAGCAGCACTTCTCCCACGCGAAACAGTCAGTGTCACTCTTACAGTTGAGGTGATAGGGGTAGTTGTGTTGAGTGGGGTCACACAGCAAGGACCTCTCGTCGGCGGTTAAACTGTATTTTGGACACTGCCCTGGATTGTTGCCTGTAACAACATGGATTGGTGAAGGAAATATACTTATATATAAAATAGTCAACCTAAATTCGATATAATATCACCTGGATAAACATTTGGGTCAAGTGTTTTATGAGCTGGCTGTTGGAACGCCGACTATTGGCGAGTCTGACAAGAAACTGTTAGTTCTCGAGATGTAGGTGTTAATGTACACTCACACCAACATGATATATTTCTCTAAGACACAATACATAAATTCCCTCTTAAAACATTTAATAATACAAACAAATCTCAGAAATTCAAGAGTTGGGTAACTATTTATAATTTAGTTATTTGATTCGCCTTCTCACAATGGCCTGAGAACTTTAGTTCATCGTCAACATACGCACCCATGTCCTTTTTGCATTCGGTCTCAATGCAGTTTCTAGAGACCGAATGCGAAAAGAACCTAGGTGTGTATCTTGACAATGAACTAAAGTTCTCGGGCCATTGTGAGAAGAAGGTGAATCAAGCAACTAAACGAGTATGTCTTATAAGAAGGTGCTTCTCCACCTGGAGTACTGCCATCCCGACTGATCCCCGAGATATGCTAGAGACTGTCAGTTGATTGAAAATGTCCAAAGGAGGGCTACCAGACTGGTGCCTGCGCTACGGCACCGCAGTTACCCAGAGAGATTAGAGTGCCTGCAACTGCCTAGCTTATACTACAGAAGGGCAAGGGGTGATCTAATTGAGGTGTATAACCATCTCAGAGGGCACTACTCAGTCGAGTGTCCATGCCTGGAGCCAGGGCCGGTTTAAGACTTTCGTAGGCCTTAGGCACCTCCAAGATATGGGGCCCCATTTGACAGCATATTCACTAAGAACACAAGCTAGTACCTAATTATAAAATGTGATGTCGAAAGAATAAGATAATCAAGTAACATAAATGATACTAATAGGATTAAGTAATAGATAAATGGACAAAAAGTACCTCATTATCAATTTAATAATAACTTGTAGAAAAAGGGGAAGAAAAGTTCTCGCATTATTTTTCGTAGGCCCCCAATATCTCGTAGGCCCTAGGCACTGTGCCTACTGTGCCTAATGGATAATCCGGGCCTGCCTGGAGCTAGAGAACGCCCATCCTCCGAGGGGTCATAGCTCCAGATTGAAGAAGCCACAAGTCCAGAAAACTGTGAGGGCAAACTTTGTCTGAGTGAGAATTGTGAACTCTGGAAACTACCTGCCAGAGAGTGTTGTGACGGGCACTGCGTGTGAGCTCTTTCAAGACCAAATTTGACCAGCACTGGAGCAGGTTCAGATATATTCAGGAGCCAGTGCATGCCCAGTACTTGCCAACAGTGTGTAACAGAGACTTGACCGACGGTCCAAGAGGCTAACGAGCCGATCAGTGGCGAAGAGGATAAAAGTAAAGCAGTGATGTGCTTAATTTTGTGGTTCAGTGAGTTGGTTCATCTGTATTGTCAATATCGTGTGCCATTTCCAGACTATTGTTTTATACTTAACTTTGTATGTTTTTCTACACGACTGTGGAAGACAAGAAGAGGAAGGTAGCTGCCATGGGAGGATGTGTCGTGTACTGTAAACCTATCATCACTCAGTACTATTTTCTACCCATCCACGGGGAATAGCCCACCCGGGCACAGGTCATCGACCCACAACGGAGCCTAGGGGGCGAACAAATAAAAATAGAAAGAAATTATGAATAGAAAAGGAAAAGGTTATATTAATCTACACCACGAAGATGCCGGAAAACCAGCTTTTTAAAGTGAGACAGATTGTATGAGTTTGGAAACACAGAAGAAGGCATTCCACAGTTTGGCTGTGTGAGGAAAGAAGGATTTACTATAACGGGTTATTCTAGTGTGACCGACATCCACAGAGAAATGGTGGGCACCGCGGGCAAGACCTGTGTTACGAGTCAACGGCCTCGCCGGCGGTACACAGGATACAAGATCTAACGAACATTGCCCGTTAAAGTACCTGTAAAACAGAAAGAGTGAAGCAACATTGCGGCGAAGGGAAAGGGAAGAAAGATTCTCAACTAAAGGAGGAGAGATAATTAGATGAAATGCCTTTGATTCTACCCTATCCAACAGTTGGACAGAAGAGCCATCCCAGATATGAGAGCAGTACTCCAAGTTAGGACGAATGAATCCCTTATATTCTTGAAGCAACTGCTCAGGAGTGAAGTAGCTACGGCATCTGTACAGCATTCCCAGCTTTCGGGAGGCAGCTTTAGCAATGTTGAGGATGTAGCTTCCATGACATATTAGAGGAAATGGTGAGGCCTAGCATATCTATTTTAGAATTTGACTGAATGATAGCATCCTGAAATATGATTGGTGGGAGATCATCTAATTTGGAAAGTGTAATCGGTAAATACCGAGTTTTATTACTGTTGAATTTAACCAAGTTAGTATCTCCCCATTCGGAGATGCTGCACAGATCCGCATTGACAGATCTAGTTTGAGAGTTAGGAGGAAGGGGAAAATGTGAAGAAGAGTGAAGAGTAGACTCTTCAGCGTAAGAATGGACGGAATTAGTTGTAGTGTGAAGTAAATCATTGATAAAAAGAAGGAAGAGAGTAGGTAAAAGAACAGAACCCTGTGGGACACCACTGTTGGTAGAGAAAGAGCGAGAGATCGATCCCTCGACAACAACTCCCATGGACCGGTTCTCAAGGAAGCTACAGATTAGAGAACAAAGTGGGGGAGAGAAACCACAAGAGGGAAGTTTAGAAAGCAAAGATTTGTGCCATACCCTGACAAATGCTTTGGAGATGTCGAGGGCCACGACGAAAGTTTCCCCATAATCCCTAAGAGAGGATGACCAAAGATGGGTGCAGTAGGAGAAAATGGGAGTTCAAGATAGTTTGGAAAATTTTAGAGAGGGATGAAGTTAGGGCAATGGGGCGATAGTTAGAGGGATTAGAATGGTCACCCTTCTTCGGGATGGGCTCAACCAAGGCATGCTTTTTAGAAGGAAAAGTTTGGGTTTTGAGGCAAAGGCGAAAGAGGCAATCAAGCACAGGGGCTAAAACTTCAGCAAATAGATATGTATTTGAGGGTTTATTTTAGAGAAAAAAATATGATTATCTGACTCAACCTTGATATAAGAGATAAAATGTTGTTTTCTAAACAATTCAAACGGCAATTATTTCTTAGGTTATTAGCTCATTAGCTACAGCAATAGGTACTGACTGCCAGGACGAACATTATAACACTTAAGGTTGCTGTCAACATTCACCCGTCCCTGACTGTAGTACAAACCACAACATTTGTATCACAATATATATATATATATATATATATATATATATATATATATATATATATATATATATATATATATATCGATAAAATCACACGGGAAAGAAACAACGGAGCACCTTAGCTTTCGTCTTTATTCAAGACGTCTTCAGAAACAATTAAATGAAATATTATTGGTTCTATTAGCTGTCTGGCATTATATATATATATATATATATATATATATATATATATATATATATATATATATATATATATATATATAAATGCCAGACAGCTAATAGAACCAATAATATTTCATTTAATTATGTATTAAGAGTAGAGACAATGAGACAAAAGTCACTAACCATTGGTGTCGCAGCAGAAGTATTCACCATTATAATTATTTGGGCAGAAGGCAACGCAATCAGGTTGAATTGGATCAGCCAGACAAGGCAGTTGCCCCGCCCCCAGGGACACTTGCCACCCACCCACCACACACACCACTAACCAGAGTTTCATCATCCTGTCTGTAAACATGGGGACATACAGTATATTATTATTGTATCATTACCAATGAATATGATGACTTGCATATTGCTGTTATAATATTACTGCTCTTCAACAACGAAGGTCTGTAATTCAGTAAGCAACAAGGTTAGTAATTACACTATTCTAACTATATAAAAACATTATGAAAGATTAAACTCTTATGTGCTCATATCCACGTTGATCTTACAGAATTAAGTTCAAATATAAGGCTTCCCGATATTATTAATATGAATTTTTGATCTAACAAAAAATCCAAACTTTTTCCCGACACTAAAAAATAAGCGTCTTTTCTTTTACTCTTTTCTTGATATTATAAAAAAAAATGCGATAACAAACTCGGCATAATAGTAACTTCGTATAAAATTCATCTTCCCATATCTACCTTTGCCACAAAACAACACTATTCTATAAATAATGATCAAATTTGTAGTTACTTACACTAAAGTGATGAGAACGACAGGCACACAATGAGGGAAATGGGAGGTGCTCCGCCTTATATACACACCCAACACAGACCAGACCAACCTGCCAGATACACGAGTGTCTTCAAAAAGTCTTAGTAACCACGGCAGAGAAAATATTACTTTTAAGGCAGTTCGCAGACCTATCAATCAATCAAATTACGGGACAGATAGTTTTAACACACAAGTTATTAAATAATTTAGATATAGAAAAGAAATAGATGTTGTTCTACAGGGAATAAACTAAATGGTTTCTGCCATCGATTGCCCTCCAGCTTTATACAAAGAAAAACTTGGTAGGAAAATCCCCTGACGTCATTACAACCACCTTAGGCTACATTAGACAGTATATAATATTAGAATTACTCAACTTCCTCGTGAAAAAAAAAATCTTTAAAGTCTTAATCTGTTCATGAATAACTTTGAAACATTTGTTAACATGTACAGTGCAGTATTCACTCTTCTCTCATGATCAGTGTTACGCACTGAAAAAATCAGTTGGCCTAAATAGTATATAGTGATAAATGATGTAACCAATGGGAAAGAATAACATATTAAATTAAGGATGACTAGCAGTGCACATACTGTATAATATTTTCACGATGGAAAATTATGTGGAGAAAATAGTGTTCAGTTAATTCTCAGTTACGAGTACAGTATACAGTAGGTATATTTAATATTGACACACATCACTCTCCTGGTAATGTACATTATTTTACTTCTTATTGTGACTGACGATTTACTCAACATATGTTAACTAGAATTGTTTTTTTTCTTCATTTAACTGTGATGGGGATAATTACCAAATAATTTTACACCACAAAATGAACTCGAAGAATTGTTTGTATGAATATTGTAACTTATTCTTTATGGAAACCTGCACACACACACACACACACACACATACACACACACACACACATACATACATATATTGTTAAAATATATATATATATTTTCTATATGATGGTGATGGTAGTGATGATGATGGTAGCAGTGGTAATGATGGTGATGGTAGCAGTGGTAATGATGGCGATGGTAGTAGTGGTAATGATGATGATGGTAGTAGTGGTACTAATTGTGATGGTAGTGATGGTGATGGTAGTGATGATGATGGTAGCAGTGGTAATGATGGTGATGGTAGTAGTGGTAATGATGAAGATGGTAGTGATGGTGATGGTAGTAGTGGTAGTGATGGTAGTAGTGGTAATGATGGTGATGGTAGTAGTGTTAATGATTGTGATGGTAGTGATGGTGATGGGTAATGATGGTGATGGTAGTGATGGTGATGGTAATAGTGGTACTAAATGTGATGGTAGTGATGATAGTAGTGGTAATGATGGTGATGGTAGTGATGGTGATGGTAGTGATGGTGATGGTAGTAGTGGTACTAAATGTGATGGTAGTGTAGATAGTAGTGGTAATGATGGTGATGGTAGTGATGGTTGATGGTGGCGATGGTGGTGGTGTGGTGAGGCTCTAAATGTGTGGTGGTGGTGATGATGGTAGGTGGTAATGATGGTGGTGGTGATGGTTGATGGTGGTAGTGGTGAAATGTGGTAGTAGTGGTACTAAATGTGATGGTAGTGATGATAGTAGTGGTAATGATGGTGATGGTAGTGATGGTGATGGTAGTAGTGGTACTAAATGTGATGGTAGTGATGATAGTAGCGGTAATGATGGTGATGGTAGTGATGGTGATGGTAGTAGTGGTACTAAATGTGATGGTAGTGATGATAGTAGTGGTAATGATGGTGATGGTAGTGATGGTGATGGTAGTGATGGTGATGGTAGTAGTGGTACTAAATGTGATGGTAGTGTAGATAGTAGTGGTAATGATGGTGATGGTAGTGATGGTGATGGTAGTGATGGTGATGGTAGTAGTGGTAGTAATTGTGATGGTAATGATGGTGATGGTAGTAGTGGTACTAAATGTGATGGTAATGATGGTGATGGTAGTAGTGGTAATGATAGTGATGGTGGTGATGGTGATGGTAGTGATGGTGATGGTAGTAGTGGTAGTAATTGTGATGGTAATGATGGTGATGGTAGTAGTGGTAATGATAGTGATGGTGGTGATGGTAGTAGTGGTAATGATGGTGATGGTAGTAGTGGAATTGATGGTGATGGTAATAGTGGTAATGATGGTGATGGTAGTGATGGTGATGGTAGTGATGGTGATGGTAGTAGTGGTAGTGATGGTAGTAGTGGTAATGATGGTGATGGTAGTAGTGTTAATGATTGTGATGGTAGTGATGGTGATGGTAGTAGTGGTACTAAATGTGATGGTAGTGATGGTGATGGTAGTAGCGGTAATGATGGTGATGGTAGTGATGATGATGGTAGTAGTGGTACTAAATGTGATGGTAGTGATGGTAGTAGTGGTAATGATGGTGATGGTAGTGATGGTGATGGTAGTAGTGGTACTAAATGTGATGGTAGTGATGGTAGTAGTGGTAATGATGGTGATGGTAGTGATGGTGATGGTAGTAGTGGTACTAAATGTGATGGTAGTGATGGTGATGGTAGTAGCGGTAATGATGGTGATGGTAGTGATGATGATGGTAGTAGTGGCACTAAATGTGATGGTAGTGATGACAGTAGTGGTAATGATGGTGATGGTAGTGATGGTGATGGTAGTAGTGGTAGCAATTGTGATGGTAGTGATGGTGATGGTAGTAGTGGAAGTGATGGTGATGGTAGTAGTGGTAATGATGGTGATGGTAGTAGTGGTAGTGATGATGATGGTAGTAGTGGAAGTGATGGTGATGGTAGTAGTGGAAGTGATGGTGATGGTAGTGATGGTGATGGTAGTAGTGGTAGCAATTGTGATGGTAGTGATGGTGATGGTAGTAGTGGTAGTGATGATGATGGTAGTAGTGGAAGTGATGGTGATGGTAGTAGTGGAAGTGATGGTGATGGTAGTAGTGGTAGTGATAGTGATGGTGGTGATGGTAGTAGTGGTAATGATGGTGATAGTAGTGGTGATGGTGATGGTAGTAGTGGAAGTGATGGTGATGGTAGTGGTGGTAATGATGGTGATGGTAGTAGTGGAAGTGATGGTGATGGTAGTAGTAGTGATGATTGTGATGATAGCAGTGGTGGTTATGGTGGTAGTGAAGGTGATGGTAGTAGTAGTAGTAATGATGGTGTTTGTAGTAGTGGTAGTGATGGAGATGGTAGTAGTGGTGGTTATGGTGGTAGTGATGGTGATGGTAGTAGTGGTGGTTATGGTGGTAGTGATGATGATGGTAGTGATGGTGATGGTAGTAGTGGTAATGATGGTGATGGTAGTAGTGGTAGTGATGATGATGGTAGTAGTGGTAGGATGGTGATGGTAGTAGTGGTGGTTGCGTGGCAGGTGATGGTGATGTTAGTGATGGTGGTGGTAGTAGAAAGTGGTTGTGATGATGATGGTAGTGATGGTGATGGTAGTAGTAGTAATGATGGTGATGGTAGTATTGGTAGTGATGGTGATGGTAGTAGTAGTAGTGATGGTGATGGTAGTAGTGGTAGTGATGGTGATGGTAGTAGTGGTAGTGATGATGATGGTAGTGATGGTGATGGTAGTAGTAGTAGTGATGGTAGGTAGTAGTGGTAGTGATGGTGATGGTAGTAGTGGTAGTGATGGTGATGGTAGTAGTGGTAGTGATGGTGATGGTAGTAGTGGTGGTTATGGTGGTAGTGATGGTGATGTTAGTGATGGTGGTGGTAGTAGTGGTTGTGATGATGATGGTAGTGATGGTGATGGTAGTAGTAGTAATGATGGTGATGGTAGTATTGGTAGTGATGGTGATGGTAGTAGTAGTGATGGTGATGGTAGTAGCGGGTAGTGAGATGGCATGTAGTAGTGGTAGTGATGATGATGGTAGTGATGGTGATGGTAGTAGTAGTAGTGATGGTGGTGGTAGTATTGGTAGTGATGGTGATGGTAGTAGTGGTAGTGATGGTGATGGTAGTAGTGGTAGTGATGGTGATGGTAGTGGTAGTGATGATGATGGTAGTAGAGTGTACCCCCCCACCTCCTCCCTCACCTCTCTCTCACTCTATCTCACCCCCACTCTCCTCCTCCTCCCTCTCTCACTCTGTCTCACACCCACTCTATTCCTCCTCCCTCTCTCACCCTATCTCACACCCACTCTATTCCTTCTCCCTCTCTCACTCTATCTCACACCCACTCTACTCCCTCCCTCTCCCTCTCACTATCTATGTCATCCCCTCTCCTCCTCCGACCGTCTCTCACTCATCTCTACCCCCCACCGCCCTTCCCTCACTCACCCCCTTGCTCTTCAACATACTCCACCCTGGCGGGTTTCGAATATTTACAGGAAGTGGAATTGGACCAGCCACGGATTCCCGCCCACCCACCCACCACTGCCACCACTACCACCACCACCCTCACCACTACTCACTCACCACTACCAGTACCACCACCACCACCACTACCACTACCAGTACTACTACTACTACCACCACTACTACAACTACCACCACATACACACCACCAACAATACCTACCTCAATTACCCAATTATTTATCACCACACACAGCCACTAATTAATCATCATCATTACCATCACCACACACCACCAATCACCACTCACCAATTACTACCACTCACCAATTACTGAACCACCACATTCATCAATCAATTAATCACCAACTAATCATCGACTAATACCACCAATCATCAGATCACCGACTAGCAGGGACCACCACCACACCACCACCCTGACCAACTGACCACCATCACTGACCACCACCACCACCCCGACCACCCACCACACACCACCACAAACACTGACCACTCACCACCACCACTCACCACTACTCACCACCACCCACCACCAACACCACCACCACCACCACAAACCACCACCACACCACCCTCACCACCACCACTACTCACCACCACAAACACCACCGACCGACCACCGACCAACTGACCACTCACCACCACCGACCACCACCACCACCACCACAAACGACCACCACCACACCCACCACCACCACACCACCACCACCACCACCGACTCACCACCACCACCATCACCACCACCACCAC